CAGAGTTAGAACTTCCTTAGAAAAATAAAAAAGAAGTCTGCAAATTGAAGTTAGAAATGCTTCTATATGCTCACAATGATTCTGTGAAGTACTCCTACTGCAACTTGTGATATGTTCTATTGTGCCTAGTTTTTAATTCTCTAAGGATGGAAAATGTTTTTTGTTTGGCAGCTTCATACATTGCTTGCAGTGTGTATCAAACTAGAAAAAAAAAAAAAAAGCTGTTCTAGTTTATTATCTCCATTACTGTGAAAAGCTCTGGTGTCTCAGTTTCAGTTATTGTGCAAAAGCATTCAGCACATACACTTTGGCCCTGCAACACACTTGCTGTCAATATAAAACTGCACTAAGGCCAAAGAGAGTGTTTGTGTGACATTGCCTATGTGCATCATAGACAAGACCACAAGAATAAAGACTGGTTATTTGGCTTATATTTTATCTTCTACAAAAACTGCCAGTAACTACACTAGAACTACTACTATTGTTAGAAGTTCCTAACTGTGGTAAATTTTATTGCTTGCTAGAGTTTAGAAGTTAATTCCACTCTCCTCCAATGTTTACAACCTGTCACAATGTATTACATGAAATATCATAAAGACCAGCTGGTATATGTGTCCAAACTATTTCTGAATGAAGAGTTCCTTCCAGAGATGTTTACTAAGTTAAGAGATAACCTTAGCACATCATGACACTTCCACAGTATTTTCACAAACCATTGATTTTCTATCCTATATTTTAAGTCTCCTAACCCTTCCTTCAGCATTTACAGTTAACTAAATATAAAAAGAATCCACTGTTAAAGTCTCATTTGCTGTTCCAAATGTGCTGGTTTGTCACTTCAATAATTGTATTAGTCAATGGTCTTTTTTTCTTTTCTCTAATGAAATAAAATCCAGTCTTTGTTCTGAGTCTCACATTTTCTAATCTTCCTCTGTCTAACCTCAACTTCTACCACTACCCAGCTACCGCCTCATGAATTCCACATATTTTGGTTTTTAATTCCCCTTTGTGACTCTTGCAATTTACATCTGTCAGCATCCAAAGCTGCTCTTGTAGCTGGAACCATCTCACACTCCTCAGTTACTAGAGGACCTTCCAAGACCTCAGAATTCATCCTCTTCTTAGTCTCCACCACTTATTCTTCCAGCTCAACTAAACCATTAAATACAGGGTAACTGATTACCAGCTATGAAAATATACAAATTTTTATTATCCAGAAAAAGACTTTTCTTCATTCCTCTACAATAACCCTATCTGCTACCTCATGCATCTTTTGAAAGCTTACATTTAATTTTTAAACACAGAAAAAAGGAAAGTTTGATAGGGTTTTGTCTTCCTATCCACAAAAAAACATGGGATGAATTATTTCTTGTCACCTACTAAGTAAAATTCTAAAACTCTGCTGTTAGATAAGGATTCTCACTCTTCATAAAATGTATATGCAAACTCTGATGGCAAAGTAGTCAAAAAAACAAATTAAGAATGTTCTCTATAACCTATTCACCCTGTCAATCAAAAAAGGGAAAATTTATTAATTAACTATAATTGCTTGACATTGCACACAAATTAATTTCATCTTGAGTTGTTCACAGACTAACAAAACACTTCTACTGATTGTGTAAAAACATATGAATGATAACTCAAAGCCATACTTTTATTAAAAATACTACTAATACTAGGTAATTTTATCCATACTAACCAAATGTATAAGGGACTAGAACATCTCCCATTTGGCCTATAGATTCAAAACATCTGCACAAATGACACAATTCTCTGCTTTGGAGCCTAAAGTCTTTGATATCCCTCTAACGACAGCTGTGTATCACATGTAGTCCGTAACAGCTTTAGGATTAATTGTTATATGTTTTTCCTACCTCATTAATCAAAGGCAAACAGCAGATATAATCTATTTTCCCAGGCAGATTTTGGAACTGGATGCATGTGTTCAGTCTGTGTCAGCCACAGTTACTCTGAAGTACGTATAGGGCAAATCAGCTTGTGCTAAGCAGCTGTCCTGCAAAGATAAAGTGGAGAAAAATACCACATCAAAAACAATCACCAGAGTCCTTCCTTCTCAACTCTCAGACTTCTCAAGTTTTTAAATACTGCATTCAAGGCCATGGTTTGAAAAGTAGCTTTTAAATTTTTTTTTTCCTGGCCTTAAAAACTGGAATAAGGCTCAATGCTGCCTAACAGAGGGAACTAAAGTGAGAGATAATCCTGTGGTTCAGCAGACAGGCAGTGCCCAAAGCTTCAGTGCCAGGATACGCCACAGACAGACTGCAGGAAACTAAAGCTGTCACTGCATCTCTCTCAGCCCAAGGGTCCTCTTTGTACTAGAGGGACAACAGCTCCATTTTTTTTTACATCTTTGACATTAAAACTTACATTTAAGTTTTTTAGAGCACAGACAAACTCCCATATGATCAACAGTCTCTGTTCTCAGCTAGATCCTGACAGCTAAAGAGGAAAACAGTTTTCTTTTCTAATACTTCTCACACATTCAGCCCCAGAGCAGGCTACCCCACTGTCACAGCTCCAGAGCTTTTCACAGCAGAATGCTGCAGAGCAAAGAACACAAACCCAACCCTGCCAAAGGAGCTCTCCTTCATGTATCCTGCACAAAGGTCATGGTTACCCAATTAACACACACTTGGCTTTACACAATTCATGAAATGTTGCATTTTTGGCTTGTGAGAAACAGAGCTCTCTCTCTGAAATTTTAAGAGTTTAATAAGGGATAAAAGGGACAATATCCCGTGCTGGGGTGTTTAGCAATATGCCAAAAACACACCGTTAGCTTAAACAATGTTATTATATACTGTAACATTACAGGGGACACATACATATTCATAAGAGTTTGCACATATTCAAACATTCCTGTGAGTTTACATGTTCTAGGAACTCTTTTGCTTGGTTTTAACTTGTCTGCATGCCATCTTGTAGATCAAATCAATATATTTTATTTCTTCTTGAGGCTCCATTCTGCTGTTTTGACACTTCCTAATAACCAGAGAGTCAGTAGAAAATTTTTCCTCTTGGTGTCCTGGTTCTTGTCACTGTTATCTTATCATTCAGATAAGATGGTCCACAAATGTGAGCAACAACTTAGCTATTTCACACTGTTATCTGAGCTAGTTACACACAAAAAAAAATTATATAGTTTTTATTTTAATATTATGCTAAGGCCTAAGACACAATATGTATTTATCACACTATTAGTTATATAAGCTATATGATACATACATAAATTGACAGGTTATATTATACCAAAAAGCAGTTAAAAAGAAATACAAATTATACTATATCAGAATATTTGTGACCAATAACTTGCAAAAGCTAACACATAAATGCAAAAGCCAATAACTACATTTGTCATTTATAACATGGCTCAAATGATGTTTGTTTCTTTTTCCTCCGTGACATAATAAAAAATAAATAACAAAACAAAAAATCTAGGTGAAGAACATGGAAAGGGTAGAAAAGGGGAACCTACAGTTACTGCGCATGCTTACAGAGATGGGAAAATTCAGCTGATGGTCTTATGACACCCTACGAAAACTTCACAGAATCCTAGAATGGTTTGGGTTAGAAGAGAGTTTAAAAGACCATCCAGTTCCAACCCTCCTGCCATGGGCAGAGACACCTTCCACTAGACCAGGTTACTCTGAGCTCCATCCAAGCTCACCATGAACACTTCCAATCGAGTACCCACAGCTTCTCTGTGCATCCTGTTTCAGCACCTTGCTACTGTCACAGCGAAGAATTTATTCCTATTATCTAACACAAAGCTGCCCTTCTTTCACTGTGAAGCTATTCCCCCTTGTCTTAACCCCCCTCCTCAAATGCATTTCTAAAACATATTCGACTGAAACATACTCAGGTGTTTCAAACCGCTCCTTCCTAGCAGGAGCCTTCTCGCACCTGTGCGGCTCCCGGCCGGACACCCGCGGGGCTGCCTCGCCTTCCCGCCGGCTTTACCTCGGCTTATGCCGGATTTACCGCCCAGACACAGAGCCCCGGCACGGGGAGGGCGCCGCAGCCCCTCCAGGTACCAGCGGCCGAGCCCCGCCGGAGCCCGCCCCGAGCCCCCTCACTGAGGGCTGCCCGCGCCCCGGAGCGCCGCCCGCAACAGGCGCCCGCGGCAGGCCCCGCTGGCGGCGCCCGGGGAGGGGAGCGGGACCGGGCCCGCCCTCAGCGGTGCCCCCGGCTCCGCTGCACTCACCGCTCCGGGGCGCGGGCTGCGGCGCAGGGAGGGCGGCGGGGAGCGGCGGCGCCGAGCCCCGAGGCGGCGGAGTGGCGGCGGCCCCGGTGCCTGCGCCGCTCGGGGGCCGGGCTGGGCGGGGCCGGACGTGAGCGAACTTCCGCGGGGCGCGGGGTCGCCATGGCGGGTGAGTGAGGGGGGAGCTCCGGGGGGCGAGCGCGGGAGCAGCAGGGAGCGGGCAGAGGCGGGTCCCGGCGTTTTCTCAGCAAGCCAACGGGGTTCAAAGTGCCCGTGGTGCTCCGCCAGCCCGCCGGGCTGCTGCTGTCACACCCCGGTGTGCGCCGTGTGTAGCACCTCGCTCATGCTCCGGTGTAACGAGGTCCCCCATGTGTTTTACCACCTTTCTGTATAAATATCTGCAGGGTGGGTGTCAAGAGAATTGAGCCAGGCTCTTCTCCTTAGTGCAAACTAACAGGACAAGAGGCAGTGGGCAGAAACTAATGCACAGGAAGTTCCGCCTGAACATGAGGAAGATTTATTACTATGCAGTGACCGAGCCCTTAAACAGATGAGCAGAGAGGTTGTGGAGTCTCCTTCGCTGGAGATACCCGGGTGTCGCTGGAGAACCGTCTGGACACAATCCTGTGCCATGTGCTCTGGGATGGCCCTGCTTGAGCAAGGAGGTTGGAGCAGCTGGCCCACTGGGGCCCCTCCCCACCTGACCCATTCTGTGGTTTTGTGTGGATCTTTTGATGTGATGAACTCTTTTCAGGCAGCTCTATGGATAAAAGCTGAAGCTAGTAAACTTTCAGGCAGGGCATTTGGCTTGGCTTTGAGCCGTGCTTTGGCTGCCAGGGCAGGACCTGAGGTGCAAAGGTGGAGCTGCGTTGTGTGATCAGAGGAAGTGCAGCAGGTTCTTACAGCTGTCTGCCTTCCAAGGAGACACCATGAGACAAGGACTTTGTGCTCAGCAGTAAAGCACCCACCACCTTCAGCAGAACCCCGCCTTTCCCCAAACTCTTGCAGCTCACATGTTGCTGTGAATGAATTCTGACATTCATGGCATGAGCACTGCATGCATGCACGGTAATTGCTGCTGTGATTTCTCTCTGTCATGCACTGCAATAACATCTGTCTGTCATTTGATGTCAGGAGACTGCTGGATCTGCCAGCACTACAAAGCACTGCTGTCCGTGCTGCAACTACGTATCTCAGAATGTGCTTGCACTTGTTTAATAACATGGTTTTCTTGCAAATAGCAATAGATGAGGAATTATAATTCATGCCAAAGACAGTTAATGTAAATTCCATTTTACTTTAATCAATATTTGCCATTAAAGCAAGGAAATCCTTCACACAAATAGCTGGTGGGCACTGATTTGTTTCTGTATGCTTTAAATTGCTTCAATATCTTTATTTTCTCATGCAGCAAAAAGTCCTCCTGATAGTACTCCAAGAAGGCCTGTTTTAGCTGTCAGTGCAAGAAAAATTAAAGATAATGCAGCAGACTGGCATAATTTAATGATGAAATGGGAGAGACTGAATGATAATGGATTTACTACAGCAAACAAAATAGTCAACATGAGGATCAGTGAGCAGTAAGTATGCTAATACACATGAATAAAGACAGCATAAAGATTGCTTTTATTGAGAGATTAATCTGCTTTCTTCACTAGAAAGTTATTTTAGGAGATGGGAAAAGAACATGTCACAGTGGATAAACTAGCTCTTGGATCAAACTCAGCAGTTGCAATTTTTTGGTTACATAAACTATTTACATTCAAATAATGTCTCATACAGTAATATTTGCAATAAATGGGAAATGTTTATTTTACATAGTCAAATGTAACATATTTTAAATACTTACATTATGTACCAAATTAAATCTAATTCTATAAATCTTAGCCCATGTGAGTTCCCTTATTCTCTTGCATGTTTTATGGTGAGGTGTAAAAAATTCAAGTCAAAAGTTCAGAAGATTTTAAGAAAGAATCAATGATTTGTACAGACAAAAAGTTTTAACAGTGATGACTTAAAACCAACAAAGAATCAACAAAAATACCACACCACAGCCACCATAAAAAAAAAAACCACAGAAAAACTGAAATAACCTTCAACTTTGGTAGAGCTTTTATTTTCATGCTGTAGTGAAAAACCTTAACTAACAGGGCTGTGAGCAGCTTCTCCAGATTCCTGACAGCTGAAGAGGGTTTGTCTGACAGGGTTCTGACAGGTACAAGCTGAGGAATATTTTGCTGTAATGGTGCCAGATGTTGCTTTTGCTCTTTATCAGCTCTCTCTCTCCAGTCTAAGTTTACAGCTGGTGTGGGAGAATCTGCCAGACAGGGCAGTTGTCTGCACATTGGCTGCTTTGGGGTCACAGATAAATGTCTTGGCTTAAATTTGCGCAAAGGTGAGTTTGTGATGAGGCACCAGATTGTCCTGTGGAGCAGCTGAAGCCTGGGCATACCTTGTTGATGATGACAGGACAACCTCCAGCACTGAGACAAAGAGAGGAAAAGTGTTACGATCTTAACACCTGCAAATGTTTTTTCCCACATGGCCAGCTATGCTTTGTGCTATTTTTATGTAGGAATTCTCATAAACAGCCTGTGAGTGAGAGATTTTGTAGGATCAGATCACAAGGATTTTAAATCTGCACTGCTCAAATAAACCTATATGTAGTTGTTTATGCTGCCTCATGTTTCTTTCAGATTTCAAGATAACAAATTGGAGATAGCATGTGATAACAGTGCCACAGAACCTGAAAAGCCAACCCCAAAATACAATGAAGAGCTGGACAATTGCTGTGCAGAATTACTTGAGACCTTAAAGCATATGGTAATACTAATTTTTCAGACTTAGTCTACATGAATCAATTCCAAGTGTGCTCAAGTAACAAGGAAAGTTGTAGGCCGAAAACTGGGATTTTCATTCATAGTTCTTTGGCTTCAAACCTAAATTACTGTAAATCCAGATTTTGTGTGATCAGAGGAATTTATTTGCATTTATTTGATTGATTGGTAAATTGCAAAGTTGGTTTTACGTCTTCTGTCAGCTTATAATTCTACTCCCCCCTTTATAAAAGTGATGTGGAAACAAATCATACAAAGAATGCATTCCAAAGGTGCACCTGTTTTCTGTTTCTCATCCTGGATATTCCCTCTGTTTAGAACAAAAGAAACAGCAAAGCATAAAGCGGTGCTTTACCTGCCATCATATCCTTGCAGCTGTCTCTGATCATAATGCAGTCACATATTTAGCCTGCCTGCCTGTATTTGCTGTGCAGCTCTCCTTCTCTGGAGAGTGGAGTAAGATAATTATGTAACCCAATGTTTTTTTCTGGATACCTTGCTAGGAATTAATGTCACCTGTCAGTTTGACAGGAAGCAAACAATTTTTTTCTGCCAGATACTGTAATTTAAAGTTGTTATTAAAAATAACTTTTACAGCCTTTTGCCAAAGTGGAGGCCCATTAAAAGGATGGTAGATCTATTTTTTATACAGTCAGGCTATAGACCTCCAGTATTTAGAAAAAGCAGGAAAGTGGCTAGATTTCCCTCAGATTTTTTTTTCTGTGGGGAAAATGGTTGGGGTTGTTTTTTTTTTTCCTTGATGTACTCTTATATTCAGACTACAAATGCATTGATGAAAGTTTCTACTCTTCCTGAGGAACAGGAGTCTAAGCAGTCAGTATTAGATTGGATACTAAACATAGCTACTATGACCTAATTTATTTTTCATTCCTTAGGAGTTTGTATGAGCTTAGAGGTTCAGAGATGTATCTGTGGTTTAGCCTGCTTGATGTAAAGATACTGCCTGCAAGCTCATTTTGGTGTAAATATTCATACCCAAATGCACAGAGTCAGATGAACATGAAGGAAGTGGATGGAATGACCTATTTTTTGAAGCAAGCTTTTAGATCACCCTACATATATTGTCAGTAGTAGCTTGAGCTGCTTTTCTCACCTGCTGCTGATCTTTTGAAATAAAAGTCATCTTGATATGGTAATGTACAAAAATATCTTGACAGGGCTTGTGCTATACCAGTGTGATGTTTTTTCCCCAGTGCTAAATTGCTATAGGAAAAGGTAGGGAGGTGAAAAAATGAGAAGGCTTTAGTGTATTTCTACATATGGGAAACAAATGAATGTCCAAAACAGAGTCATATCTGCAGTGTTCAAAATTTCTGGGTATCTCATATTAAGTGTTTATCTAGATTTCAGTTTTGATCCCTGTCTAGAGTTAAAAAAATGTGAGCTAGAAATGTCAGTATTAAATAGCCTTTATAAATAGTGTGTTTTCAAAAAATGTTTAAGATTATAGTAGCCTAATGTTGCTGAGATACTCATTAACATTCTGTGTTTATTGTTTACAGACAAAAATACAACTGAAAATGGAAAAGCTTACTTCAACTACTAAAGCAATCTGTGACTTGGAAACATTCCACCACAGAGCTGGGAATTGCAAGGCTCCCTTCTTTCATACATGGCCCACACCATACTTCTGTAAGTAAAATATTGATTATCTTAGCTAATTACATTGTGTCATCAGTGTAATCTAATTTATGATTGAAAAATAAACCCTCTTATCTGGATGTCTTTTGCCTGAGAGGGAGAGAGTGCTGTCTCCTTTACAATTGACTAATCAATAAACACATGAATGCATCACTTGGTTTAGGGTTACTGCTGATGACTGCCAAGCATTGTCTGACATGCAACAATTACAGCATAGAACTAAATTTGTCAGCAGCTTACAGTGTCCAAGCTGCAACAGCCACATCCTCTGCAGGCAGAGATGAATTTGCGACTTGCTGATGTTAAGCTGCAGGCTTAACTACTTGACTTCTTACTTGACATTGAAATTAAATCCTTGAATACAAAGAGCAAGCTATACATCAGTTAATTCTCAAGCAGACAAAGAAAAATACCTCTGATCTCTGTGTCAATCAAGACAAGTAAAGAAATGTTACACTCTACTGTTAATATTAATTCTTTTAGTGTTCACTTGATGGCAAAAGGTACTGCCTCCCAACTGGTATTACCCGCTTTAAAACTGTCTGAATTCAAGAGAAGCCTGATTGCATGCAAACCAACTGCCTTCTTTGTGAAAATCATACCTCTGCCTCTTACTTGATTACTACAATTTAGCAGAAGTCTTAATGTATTCGTTTCTGCCAGCTTAAAATAATAAGAATGATAAAGACAACTGCTGTCAAAACACCCATTGTGACTGAATCATTTAGTGATGCTGTCTGCTCCATGAAAGACTAAATCCTTCTGAAGGTAGTGATAGTTCAGGACAAGTTAGAAGCACAAAATACTTCGTGTAGTAATTTTTTAGGAATTCAAACAGTGAAAGATTACAGATGCATTTTAACCCCCTACCGGTTTTACTAACTTAACTAGTAACAGTTTTAGCAATAAATGCTTTGGTTTTGGTCTGTTGGGGTGGTTTTACTGTTGTTTTTCACTGTTGGTATTACTTACTGGTGATCATGCATTACTGAAGTGCTTCACAGCATGTGAGGGTATCCTTCAGATTAGTTAAAATCAAGAGCAACTCTAAAATGTGAAGCTTGTATTGCAGGATAGCATTACCAAATTTTAAAATCAAATTTCAGTTATTTGAGGAATAGCTGTAACTGATAATATTACAGTGGGTCCTGAGACCAATACCATTGCTTATTCTATAATTAAATGTGGACTCACATCAAAATCAGCAGTGTGTAAAATACATCCCAAAGCTGAGGAAATTGTTTAGCATTTTGTATTCTAATGTAAAAACATCATTAATGCTGTTTAAAAAAAAAAGTATGGCTAAATTTGGGGAATGGCTTATGTAAGGTAGGGGTTTTTTATGATCTATGTATTATAAGTAAAATATAGCTTTAAGAGAATTGCTGAAATGTTCTGGTCAATGTGCTTGGTTTTTGAAACCCTTTCAGATGAGGTTTCTCTGAAGCTGTCTGAAATGTACAAGAAGGAACTACAACTCAAGCAAACAATTGTACAAGACATTGCTCATTGTGCTGACCAGGATCTGATGATGGTGTATTTATCATCGTGGCTGTACCAGCCTTACATTGAGAACAGCAGCATGCTGCTGCTCGAAGCCATGCTGCTGGAAACAGGACACAGGCAGTGCTAGAGTTGCAAAGGTTACATGGCTGGCTTCTGGTGATGCTTAGATGAAACTGAACTGGCATATTGCAAGGCTTACCAAGTAAGTTCATTTTTTGTAAAACTTATTAAAAATACTTTTCTCATATTCCTTATTTTGTCTCAGTTGATACTCCTTTTTGTGTGTGGGACTATCTCGTTTTGGTTGTTTTTATCTATTTTAAGGGCAACACAGAGGCTACATGTAGAAGGCTAAGTCCTCTATAGTCAGAAAGAGGTAAGCACTGCTTAGTAGTCTAGGGGATTCAATACAAATAGAATCTACAGCAAAAAATGTTACTTCCTCCCAAGTCTGGACAGCCTAAAATACTTACACAGTCCCTTTTGCCACAGAAATTCAGCACTTGATCTTCTATGGGTTTGGGTTTTTTTTTATGAATTAACAGAGGAAATTATTTTGTACTTGATTTTTAAGTGGAGGAAAGGAAAGCACAAAAAGGATCCACATAGTTTGGTATGTGATTTTGAAATGCTGTTGCAGACAATAGTGTAAATTCTGGTTTGGTTTTGATTCTGGTGTTGTTGGGTACTGTAGCAGTGTGAGGGTGCATCACCCTCAGAGAGTGATCCAAGCCTGAACCAGCACCAAGGGAAGGTTTAGTACAACTCAGCATTCTACAGTCATTATATAATAAGGTCTTGTCCCTTTTAATTAACTTTAACTTTTTTTTTTTTTTTTTTTTGTAAGAGCTGTTCCATGAAAGCGTCTGTGAATAAAACAAAACCTGCTTTAGTCAAGGCTGTACCCCATCTTGTTTGCTCCCTGTCATAGGGCTCAGTGAGTTTTTCCTTGGGTTACTGGTACTGATGTCAATGTGGTTTTGGTTTGAAGCTGTGTCTGTCCCTCTGTACTGATAGAAAAGCAGGGTTACTTACCTAATTAGCCCCAAGCTGAAACCTTGTAAGTTTAGTAAGAGAAATTCCTGCAGTAGCAGGATAGACAGATATGAATTAAAAAGTTTTCTTGAAAAGTTATTCTGTTGAACAATGAGGTTGTTTCTGGCAGCTGATAAGAGTTCTATTCTTAGCCCACAATTTCAGCATATAAAAAGAAATTCTGCTGTAGTCAAGGATGAAGTTAGGAACAGATTTGTTGGGTTTTGTTATTTTTTCAGTGTAAGCGTTCCACTTAGTTTAACAGCCACCTTATTTCATCTGAGTTGGGCCAGACCTGTGTCACTATGGAAACATCTCAATACTTCAAAACTATTTTCCAAGGAGAAAAGATTGGTTCACATATAGAACTGTTCTTTTAAGATGAGAGTAGGTGTATTGTATTTCCCAGCATGTGCAAATTGATGGGGAAGGCAAAATTGAAGCAAGTTTTCATTTTCTCCACAGGTAGAAATTGTGGTTTGTTCTCATTTCTTAAGAGGAAAAAAGCTCTTCAGGAAGGGGTCTTCATATTCACGGACCCTCTTGCTTATTGACTGTTGTTGGGTATTGGAAGATTACTGCAAAATCATTGCAGAGATGTTTTGTCATTCTAGCTCTAAGCAGTTGATTGTTATATTTGTAGCCCTCAAATATAATTATTACACAGTCAGTACAAAAGAGTATCATAAAGAATTGCTCACTGCAATAAAAGACTGAAAGACCAACCGAACTTTGCTTTGTATACTACCTTCACTTACAAGGTAGGTCTATCCTCTGACAATTACCACCTCCTAAAAAAAGAGGGAAAAAACCCCAAAACAAATAGTCATTAATATACAGTACCTTTCACAACTACTCATGAAAGACAACATTTTGGATAATCAAATTTATCTTCTACTTATGCAACGAAGAAAAAAAAGACCAAACAAAAAAGCCTAACCCAACTATGTTTAAAGGTTTTGGTTTAGTAGAGCAGTTTATTTAATCTGTAAATTGTCTTCTGTTTAGATTCAATTTTAGCATTTTTCTTAGTGGTAACAATACCTTGAAAAAAAAATATCAGTGCTCATAACTCAATTTAAGAACAATTCTCCTGTCCTTGGCAGACTTGTCTGATTGTCCCAGTAGCTGGATCTATTCAGCAATGAGGTGACACACACATTTTAAGGATATGTTGCCACTTTTCAGTAATGTCTGCACATTTAATGCTGTTTTTTTTTTTTTTTTCACCTGCTAAACTTATTGAAAGAAAAGACAGTGCTCTGGACAACATGCTGGTAGGGGGTCTCCACAAAAACATAATCTGATCCAAGGATCATACTGAAAGTATGACAAAAATTCAAGTAATTTGCCAAGTTTTCTCGCTGCCTAGAGCAACAGTCCCTTTGTATTATGATTAAACAGTACAAGGTAGCATGGAGTTACTGGAAAGGCTGAAGTATGGAACTCATAAAGGATGCATCATCTGAAAGAGGGGAAAAAAAAAAGTATAATACCACTCTAACAAAAATAGGCCATGACAGACTAAAGCAAAAAAAGAATTTGGTATCTCATTAAGGAAAATTAGATCACTACTTATGCACCTTCCCATTTATGTCTATGTAACAGCAATTTTTAAAGGTGTGGCTGAACATTAGACAAGCAACTTAAATACATTTCCAACTGTTCAGTAAAAATCAGATCTTGTTTGAGACTATTTTTGTCTCAACTCAGCAAATGCTTATTTCAGTAAGGATCAGCTAGGCTGTCACATTGTTCCCAGAATGCACAAGTTTGTGGATTATACTTAAACCTGCTCATTTTCCCAGGCAGATTTATGTGCATCAAGTCTAGATGCTAATGAATATTCAAGATAGCTTTTAAAAAGTGCAATAACAGTGTTTTGTAATCTCAGTGGCACAGAAAATGCACATTTTTAATATAGCTTTTATTTTACCCATATACAGCTTGCCAGTACACAGCACATCACTGCTGAACAGCAGTACAACTTACTGCATTTTTAGATGGCTAGAGAGAAAAGGAATTATGTAACAAAAGGAGACAGTGCAAGTTTTAGGGTTGACAAGATTTCCACTTTCCACCCATCCCCAACATATAAAGCAAATAGAACAATGTTAATTCTAGAATTTTTGGTTGCAATGCTGCTAAATTTATATAAACATAAGTTATAAAAAGTACAGGGCATAGAAACAGTTTACAAATAAGTTAAATTTCAATTATCTCAGTATTCACATTAGAAAAATATACATTTTATAATCAGTCTTTTCCAGAAGAAAGCTTATAGGGTTTTCTAATTTATGGCTCCAATTCACTTTGCGAGAGCAAAATATCTTCACTTTGGCCACCTGCTTCCATTGCCAGTAGTGCTTCCACTGTTTCCAAAGGTATCCCTTCGGGTGTGCGAATGTGCATTGTCGTACCACTGGAATCAGTCACAATAACGATGCCTTCCGCCTGAGACAAAACAGCAGTGTCTGGATGAGACAAGATAAGCCCATCTGAAGTCTGAATAAAAATCTGTTCGTGTCCCTGAGACAAAAAATCATGGCTCTCATCAGAAATCTCAAAAGCTACAGTTTCATCTACAGTAACTGTATTTGCCAGCTCGTGTGCTTCCTGTGTCACACAGGAATATTCATTCTCGTTTTTGAAAGCATTTTCCTGGTTCCCATGAGCGGACAGGGAGGCTCCCTGGACAGCATCCTGGTGCGACTCAGCCTGAGCACTGTGGGGGTAGTTTATTGGCACGACGTTTGTTGAAAAAGCTTTTTCAAGTTCCTGTATCTCATCAGTCATATCAGCATTATGGAGTTGCTCAGAACGTTCTTTAATTGCAAAATTCGGGTTTTCTTCTTGCAGTTGATGATATTTTGGACTGTGACCGTTTTCTTCACTCGCTGGTAGGCCGGTGCTCTGTCTGGCCACTGCCTGCTCCATCAGGGAGCTGTGGAGCTCAGGAGCTGCCGGTTCTGCCGCCACGCTCCCGCTCATAAAGCGCGCCTGAAGCAGCCCAGCCGAGCCGCCTGCTCCCACAGGCAGCACCACTTCAGCGTGCAGCAGAGATGCTTCACCTGCCACATCTTGTCCCTGTATCCCTGCAGGCTGGGGATACTCTATCCTCATTTCCACAGTTTGGGAGAAGGTACCTGAATTTTCACCATCGATTCCAACTCCTGAATCAGCAAGTGGATTATGTTCCTTTGCTGTCTGTAATGTACTTCCAGTTGTACAGCAAGTGATATGCCTATCTTCTGAAAGCAGGATTTCTCCATTTAATGGATTAAAGCCTGAAAAGGGGAAAGAACACCTTACAGGAGTTTCATAGACCTTTTCAATGAGAAAGTCACTATAAAAATATTTAAGGAATTGTTGAATAGTGATAGTTTATCAAGTATTTCTATATTAAGAGACCTTACACTTAGAGGCAGCATTTTTCTGTTCATCCTGAAAACAACCTGGGCTGAAAGGCAAACTCAATTTTCTTTCATCTGTCATGCAGCCAGTAACATTAAAAGATAAAGACTAGCAGGCACAAACTTGTCAGCTTCTCATCCTCATCACTTTCAGTAAGTTGATGGAAGCATTTAAACTTCAGCTTAAATTTCTATTCATAATCAAGCTCATCCTGGATTCGGACATGTGATCAGGTTACTACATATTAATTAGCTGTGCTAAGCGCCCCAGCAGCACTTTTGTCCTGTGCCAGAAAAGGTAAAAACCTCAAGAAACGCAGTGTTCTAGCAGTTACTTGACCTGGACCTGACCAAGGTCCCAAACCCTGAAAGTAGTTGGACAATAACTGCTAAGCTACAATAGTATGAGCGGTCAGTTTTTAATAATAAAGGTCAAAAGGAACAAGTTAGCTGGTTTGGATTTGGACTTTTTTTGTTATGGAAGATACCATTGCACAAAAAAAGGAGACTTAACATTTTGCACTGTAGACTAGCAAACACCCTACTAGCAGGTGCAAGCAAAATGTAATTTTAAGAACTCATAGCCCAGGAGAAAATGATAGTGCAGCAAGAAGTAAGCATGGTCATGCAGAGAGCCTTTCAGATAAAGAAAATCTAACCGAGGGAAACAAAAATAACCATTGACTGAAAGACATACAAAGGGCAAAAGCAACGGCACTTACAGCAACACCAAAACAAGGTATTTACAAAGTGGATGGCACTGATAGACATATCTTACTAGAAATGTCTTTCACTGCTACCCTGCTAATCTGAAGGGCAGCAGGATGAAATATGAAGAATGAATAAAAAGAAAGGGAAACAGCTGAAGACTGTGGTGCAAAATGGTGCCTCAATTCCAAAATAAGATGTATTTCAATGATTGATACAGGACAGCCTACACCAGCTCTCCCTTTCCCCTAAAGTTCCACAAAGCTCTGGTAATTCTGCTCTTGTAGCTGGCTGGGGCCACGAGGAAGGATGTGCACTCTGCTTCCTCCTCCTCTGCTCTTCCACAGCTGACACATGGTCATGCACTCAGAGGGATAGGACAGACAGGAAGCACACAGCAGAGGACAGTACTATGCCCAGAAGTAGTATCAATCACTGATTATCCTGCATCCAGGATTGAGCTACTGCTGTCTGCATCATCTGTAACTTTTCCCTCCTCATGAGGCCTTTTCAGTTAAACAGCTGCTTTTGAAAGACCTGGGAAGCAAGTTAAGAGATGAAACTGTAAGACAAAAAACACAGTAGCTTGAAGAACGAAGTTTTGTTCAGCTCCTCCATAAACAGAATAGAACTGGAAAATCTGAAGAGGTTACCATCTTTTTCAAAGAGTGTACACAAATTCCCACTCCTTTCTTTCACTTCATCTTGACAGGCATAAGCATTGTTCACATTTTCTGTTACGTCTTCTAACTTGGTCCTTTTGGCTGGTGGCAACACTTCTTCCCCTGAGCTCTGTCAATACAAGAGATGATTAACTGCAGCCCTGTAACGCTTGACAGTATTGGAAAAGATAACTGTGGGAACATCTTGGCAGTGAACTGATGATCCTTGAAAACAGGATTTACACTAAGGTCTTCCTAAGAGGTACACAGCCCTCACACTTCACCAAAACTCCAAGGGGACAAAACACAGCTCTCTGCTACAGCTATAAACAGCCTGAAGCTCATCAACTGACTTGTCAGAAAGAAAATGTTTTCATGCCACTCTATCCAATTAGTACAGTAATCACTTCTCCAGTGCCTGAAACTGCTGTAGGTTAGGCCATTTCCTCTAACACAGGCTGGAATTTCTAGAGCCCCCAGTTACCAGCACCTCAATTAAGTTATTTTGTCTCTGTATCAAAGACCTGTAAGTCTTTGATACTCTGTCCGGAACGCTACCAAGTGTTTTCCCAAAGCACATACTTAGTGTGCTAGTTCATATACCCTGCTATGATACCACAGCAGAGTACTTTCAGTATTTCTGAACACCACAAAAGCCTTATTTTAACATGACTCAGATAATACCAGCGTGATTTGGTAAGGAATAATTATGTATTTTTAAAAGTTTTAATTTGTCTTAGTTTCATTGTTAATTTTCACAGAGGTGTTCCATACCTCAGCTAACCGTTTTTGTCCCAATACGTCCACAGGAACTTGCTCACTAACCATTTTAATTACACATTGTGAATAAGACTCTGCACCTTGCATCTTCTGTTCTCCACTGAGTATTTCTGTGATTCCTAGAGATTCAGCAACCTTCAAAAATATATAGAAGGAAAAAAG